AATGAAAATGACCTCAACCTACTTTAGAGGTCACAGAGGTCAACAACATTTTAATGGATTTGTTCTTGAGAACTAAAAGGAATGGATTCATAAGATTTGGCTGGTAGCTTTTTGGAATAGAGCTAACCAATTTGAGAAGGAAAATGACAGTGACCTACTTACAAGATCACAGGGAAAAATATGTCAGCAACTTCTGAAGAAGAATCAAAAAGCATAGAATCTTATAATAATATTTTGCTGGTAGTTTCAACAGATGGAGCCAACAAAGTTTGCAAGGGAAATATTTTTAGTGCAATATAATATTTAATGAGAATATTTTGCTATGACTGCTAAAATATTCAGGTGAGCGATGCAGGCCCTCTTGGGCCTCTTGTTAAAATGTTCAGATATATTTTATTTAGTTTCAATGAATGTATACATATGCTTTTGTTTCATCATAGAACCATTAATATCAACTCATCACAGTATCAGTAAAGTGACCTTCAGTATCATCACAATGACCTTCAGTATCATCACAATGACCTTCAGTATCATCACAATGACCTTCAGAATCAACACAATGACCTTCAGTATCTTCACAGTGACCTTCAGTATCTTCACAGTGACCTTCAGTATCATCATAGTGACCTTCAGTATCATCACAATGACCTTCAGTATCATCACAATGACCTTGGGTATCATCACAATGACCTTCAAAATCATCACGATGACCTTCAAAATCATCACAATGACCTTCAGTATCTTCACAATGACCTTCAGTATCTTCAGTATCTTCACAGTGACCTTCAGTATCATCACAGTGACCTTTGGTATCATCACAGTGACCTTCAGTTTCATCACAATGACCTTCAGTATCATAACAATGACCTTCAGTATCATTATAATGACCATCAGTATCTTCTTAATGACCTTCAGTATCATCACAATGACCTTCAAAATCATCCCAGTGACCTTCAGTATCATCACAATGACATACAGTATCATCACAATGACCTACAGTATCATTACAATGACCTTCAGTATCATCACAATGACCTACAGTATCATCCAAGTGATCTTCAGTATCATCACAATAACATACAGTATCATCACAATGACCTAAAGTATCATCACAATGACCTACAGTATCATCACAATGACCTACAGTATCATCCCAGTGACCTTCAGTATCATCACAATGACATACAGTATCTTCACAGTGATCTTCAGTATCATCACAATAACATACAGTATCATCACAATGACCTAAAGTATCATCACAATGACCTACAGTATCATCACAATGACCTACAGTATCATCCCAGTGACCTTCAGTATCATCACAATGACATACAGTATCTTCACAGTGACCTACAGTATCATCACAATGACCTTCAGTATCATCACAATGACCTTCAGTATCATCACAATGACCTACAGTATCATCACAATGACCTTCAGTATCATCACAGTGACCTTTGGTATCATCACAATGACCTACAGTATCATCCAAGTGATCTTCAGTATCATCACAATGACCTACAGTATCATCACAATGACCTTCAGTATCATCACAGTCACCTTTGGTATCATCACAATGACCTTCATTATCATCACAGTGACCTTTGGTATCATCACAATGACCTTCAGCATCATCACAATGACCTACAGTATCACCAAAATGACCTGCAGTATCATCACAATGACCTTCATTATCATCACAATGACATACAGTGACATCACAGTGACCTTCAGTGTCATCACAATAACATACAGTATCATCACAATAACCTAAAGTATCATCACAATGACCTGCAGTATCATCACAATGACCTTCAGCATCATCACAATGACCTACAGTATGATTACAATGACCTTCAGTATCATCACAATGAACTTCAGTATCATCACAATGACCAACAGTATCATCACAATGACCTTCATTATCATCACAATGACCTACAGTATCATCACAGTGACCTTCATTATCATCACAATGACCTACAGTATCATCAAAGTGATCTTCAGTATCATCACAGTGACCTTCATTATCATCACAATGACCTACAGTATCATCACAGTGACCTTCAGTGTCATCACAATAACATATCACAGTGACCTTCAGTATCATCACAGGGACCTTCAGTATCATCACAATGACCAACAGTATCATCACAATGACCTTCATTATCATCACAATGACCTACAGTATCACCAAAATGACCTGCAGTATCATCACAATGACCTTCAGCATCATCACAATGACCTACAGTATCATACAATGACCTTCAGTATCATCACAGGGACCTTCAGTATCATCACAATGACATACAGTGTCATCACAGTGACCTTCAGTGTCATCACAATAACATACAGTATCATTAAAAGACTATTATGTAATAAATTGAGCAGTCTTTGTGTCCTTTATACCCTTATTTTATAGTCTGGGCTGTCACTAGTACCAGCAGATGACTGAAAATCATAACGTGACCCAATCCCTGTTGTGAATCTCAATACTGGCATGTCCTTAAATGACCATAGCTGTAAATAGGACAAATACAAACAAACCTATAGCCTGTCAAAGGTGTTTATGGAATGGGAGGTATTGTAGTAGCGGGAGCATCACTTTGGTTTCCTTAGGATCACTTACTTGAATATCAATTGATTTTGGAGATACTAAAGGTAAGCATGTTAAATATACAATGAGTATGATTAGGTTGGAAGTTGAGCGAAATCTGTGCATAATTATTTACCATACTGTGCTGTGATTGGTCATTTGATTGGTTGACGGTTTCCGCACAATTACTTTATTAAATGTGATGTAATGAAACTTGGTCAACACTCATATTATACAAAGACTTGGCCAATGATTAAATATAAAGATAAATACATAAGTTAAAGTTAGAGAAAGTCTGCACTGAATTAATTAACCTACTGCATTCTGATAAGTCAACAATTTCCTCTCAATAACTTAGTCACTTCGGGTAGATTTTGATGGAACTTTGTCAATATTTACACTTTTAACGATATCTGCCAGTACTAAATAAACATTCTTCAATTTTAATGGTTAAAGATTAATCATTGATTGGAAAAGAGAGTCAATTTCTTTTTGTTCTTCGCTCATCTGGTCTTGAAGGACGGGTAAGCTTATGCGATACCATGACATCCGTCGTCTGTCCATCATCAATTTCTTAAAAACAACTTCTTCTAAACTGCTGATTGAAATTGGACCAAATTTGACTGGAAGCATCTTTAGGATGTGGGGATTTTAGATTGTACAAATGGATGGGTTGACCCCCAGGGTTGGCGGACATGGCCAAAAAGGGTCATATTGCTTTACATGATTTCTTAGGAACTAAGAGAAGGATATCAACCATATTTGATTGGAAGTATTCTCATGGCAGCCCTAATAATGACTATATAGTATGGTACTAGGTAGCCAGGTACAAAGGTACCTGTGACAGCCCTAATAATGACATCACTATATAGTATGGTACTGGGTAGACAGGTACACAGGGACCTGTGACAGCCCTAATAATGACATCCCTATATAGTATGGTACTGGGTAGACAGGTACACATGTACCTGTGACAGGCCTAATAATGACATCACTATATAGTATGGTACTGGGCAGACAGGTACATGTGACAGCCCTAATAATGACATCACTATATAGTATGGTATATTGGACAGCCAAGTATACAGGTACATGTGACAGCCCTAATAATGATATCACTATATAGTATAGTACTGGCTATGGGTAGACAGGTTTCTGTCTTAGCCAGATACACTGGTGCTCATGACAGTTGAACTTTGTATGAATTTTGGTAGCTTTTTAGTGAGTACAAGTACTCACCATGCCCACAGAGTAGTATTGAACTGGGTTCGGTTCATGTCTTACGTCCTTTTAACAGCTAAAGTCATTTAAGGACATGCAAGGATTTGATGGTGGAGGAAAGCCATAGTGCCTGGAGAAAAACAACCAACCTGCGGCCAGTGGCCCAGTAGTGGAGGGCTACTGATCGTAGACAGTCAGAAACCTTAACCACTCCGCCACCGTGGCCACTGGTTCTGATCTATACACAAATTATATAACTATTGGTAGATACATAATGTTACCTAACTTTGTCAACTGGATAACACAACAACTTGGTAGTAAAGCGGACGTAACACCACTCAAACTTATAAGTGTACCTGTGAGAGGAATTTTCTGCCTTACACATTAATGACATGCATTATTCAACAGTTCATTATCACTCAAGTGTCATAGTACTTACATTCTTTTGTACCTTAACAAGTATTTAGATTAATCAAATGCAGACTTAACTATTCTTACCCCTTTTTTTTCGTTTTTCCTTTCCCGGTCCGAAGGATCTAGCTGAGCATATTATGTACCGTGGCATCTGTTATTTGTCAATCTGTCCACCAATAATTTCTTCAAACAACTTCTTCATAACGTCTGATTGGAATTTAACAAAATTTGATTGGAAGTATCCCTAGGTGATGAGGATACAAAAGTGTCCAAATGGAGGGGCTGACCCCACCCATACATCCCAACTTGCAAGGTCATTACTTTGAAACTGTTGAGATCCAAACCTTTAACCATAATACAAATGCTGGGCATAAAGAGACAAAATACAGTAAAGGTATTAGACTTGTCCCTGTGGTCTGGCCTCACCCTTAGAGAATTAGTCCCTGGGTCATCACATGGAAACTTTTGAGATCCCAACCCTATCATAATATCCCTATCCCTAAGATATTACTTGCCATCCAATTTTCATTTAGAATCTTTTGCTATGATTGCTTAAATGTCCAGGTGAGCGATACAGGCCTCTTGGGCCTCTTGTTTAAGATTGGACCTCTTTTGGAAATAAGTTGGTCTTAAAGAAATTAAGTTAGATTTATCTTTAATTCCCCAATCTGGCTTAATAAAATATAACTGTCGTAACCCAACTTTTGTTCAGTAAGTTCTGACTGGCTGTGTGCTCGGTATACTCTACACCAGACTGTATGTTCAGTAGGGTATACTCTACACCAGACTGTATGTTCAACAAGATTTCTTAATCGGTAGAAGCTGATAAAACCATGATTTGTTTTCCTCCAAATGATGTGATTAAGAGAATTACCTGGTACCTAAGCATATATACAGATATTTTTATTTACAGTGAAATTATAAGTTAACAGACAATATTATCAACTTTGGTGAACACATACCTCTAAATGTAGGAAGCTCTCTCTCCAACTCTCTGGTAATGGAGGTGCTTCAATATGAAACTGTCGACTTTCATTTTAATGAGGAGCAATGGTAACAGGAGGAATGTACACTAGTCATATTAATGTAGCGGAACTGGACTGGGTCTATCATTGACGACCAGGTAGCTCAATTGGTAGAGCGTTCGTCTAGAGTTCGGAGGGTCCCGGGTTCGAACCCCGGTCTGGCCGTTACATTTTTCTCTTTCTCCTGTTATATTAATAATGTCGTTGTGAGTAGAACTCTTCTAGGGAGCAACAGACACTTGTTACCCAATGGTCACCAAGCTGCAAGTAGATGAAGGGTCCCTTTACCACTACCAAAAACTGTCAATATCCATTGTAGCTTTATTTCCAGCGCAACTATAGCTTTGTTAAATCATTACTCAATAGGAAACCATACTGTGCAGGGCTTCTGTGAGAAGAAAACAAAATATTAGCAACAACAGTTATATCCAAAAGGAAATTAAGGGGAGGTTACTGTATCAAAAATCCTTAATTTTTTGCTGTGTATGATTGCATTTTACTAACCATGGTATGTTTATATACATATATATCTACCATTGTATATATCATATATTAAATACATCTGACCAAGATAATCTGGTCACATGTAAATCTCTATATAACTATGTGTAATCATGACTATATATTATAGCCTGTACCTTTTACATCCTCAAAGAGCCACATTAAAAAGGTGGGCCATTTGTAACTAATGCTTTCATACTGTCTAAAAAATTATACTCTTGAATATTCTGATTGAAAAAAGAAGATATGTATTTTTTATTGTAAATACAAACCATTATATAATATGTCATGTCTGAAAGCTGGGCAAGTGGACTGTATGTATATATATAGATATAGGATCTCTGTATAAAACTTGTTAACAATGTACTAACACTGATGTTTCTCTGTGAAGTAGTGGATGTTTCTCTGTGAGGTAGTGGATGTTTCTCTGTGAGATAGTGGATGTTTCTCTGTGAGGTAGTGGATCATTTAATAATATATGTTTATAGTTACATGGTTTGAGAGAGCTGTGATATTTTGAAGATAATTTTTCAATGCTACCTACATAATACAAACTGAGGTCATACTTACTGTAACAACATCTGATACACCTAGATACGAGGTCATACTTACTGTAACAACATCTGATACACCTAGATACAAGGTCATACTTACTGTACCAGACTGACATAACAACATCTGATACACAGAGATACGAGGTCATACTTACTGTACCAGGCTGACATAACAACATCTTATACACCGAGATACGAGGTCATACTTACTGTAACAACATCTGATACACTGAGATACGAGGTCATACTTACTGTACCAGACTGACATAACAACATTTGATACACCGAGATACGAGGTCATACTTACTGTACCAGGCTGACATAACAACATTTGATACACCGAGATACGAGATCATACTTACTGTAACAGCATCTGATACACCGAGATACGAAGTCATACTTACTGTACCAGGCTGACATAACAACATCTGATACACCGAGATAGGAGGTCATACTTACTGTACCAGGCTGACATAACAGCATCTGATACACCGCGATACGAGGTCATACTTACTGTACCAGGCTGACATAACAACATCTGATACACCGAGATACGAGGTCATACTTACTGTAACAGCATCTGATACACCGAGATACGAGGTCATACTTACTGTACCAGGCTGACATAACAACATCTGATAAACAGAGATACGAGGTCATACTTACTGTCCCAGGCTGACATAACAACATCTGATGCACCGAGATAGGAGGTCATACTTCCTGTACCAGGCTGACATAACAACATTTGATACACCGAGATACGAGGTCATACTTCCTGTAACAGCATCTGATACACCGAGATATGAGGTCATATTTACTGTACCAGGCTGACATAACATCATCTGATACACCGAGATACGAGGACATACTTACTGTAACAGCATCTGATACACGGAGATACGAGGTCATACTTACTGTACCAGACTGACATAACAACATCTGATACACAGAAATACGAGGTCATACTTACTGTACCAGGCTGACATAACAACATCTGATACACAGAGATACGAGGTCATACTCACTGTACCAGGCTGACATAACAACATCTGATACACCGAGATATGAGGTCATACTTACTGTAACAACATCTGATACACCGAGATACGAGGTCATACTTACTGTACCAGGCTGACATAACAACATCTGATACACCGAGATACGAGGTCATACTTACTGTACCAGGCTGACATAGCAACATCTGATACATTACACGTTATTGATATATTATACTTTGTCAGCGACTTTGATCAAATGTCAACAAAGGCTTTACTGAGAAAAGGTTTTGATAATCATATGATGTTCCATAGGGTCTGGTGTCCAGTAGGTACCTGGGAATAGAGTGCTATAAAGTTTCCTAATATAAATGAACTTAAAATACTTTTAGGGTCACAGGGTTACTTTGGTCATAACTTAAAAATGGTGGAGGTCCCCCATCCTGTAACCATATGTGCTGTCACTGGGTATTAGGAAACAAATGCAATCACACTACCAGGATTATCTCTGGGGAAGGTCCCGCCCTATGGACTTAATCCTATATCATGATATGTAAATATCCACACATATTTAAATTTCAAACAAATTTGCCATCAAAAATCCATTTGCTGTAAATCAAATTTATATTTAGCAAGGATGTTCTGCTGAATTTTTAGCCTAGAAAAAGGGAAGTGTTTGTAGATAACTTTAAATGAAAATATTTTCCTATAATCGCTTCAACATGCATGTGAGTGGTGCAAGCCTTCTAGGCATATTGCATATTGAAGATACATAGAGTGTCACCTTACAAAATCAGACTTTTAGACAGGTAAGATATATCCTGTTATCTTTTTAAGGCATTATTGAAACAACCCTTTCAAACCAACCATAGTAGATTAATTAATAGATAGCTTATTATTGTTGAGTATTGAATATTATTCTCGTACAATAATTTATGCAACTAAAATATTGAAACAATTGTCACCGATGTAAATATTGTCTTTTAATCTTCCACACCAGTCTGTAGTAACTGTACTGTTACACTATCTTAATGGAATAGTAACAGTGATGATGTCACACCAGTTTGTAGTAAATGTTACAATATCTTAATGGAATAGTAACAGTGATAATGTCACACCAGTTTGTAGTAACTGGTACAACATCTTAATGGAATAGTAACAGTGATGATGTCACACCAGTTTGTAGTAACTGTTAAAACATCTTAATGGAATAGTAACAGTGATGATGTCACACCAGTTTGTAGTAAATGTTACAATACCTTAATGGAATAGTAACAGTGATGATGTCACACCAGTTTGTAGTAACTGTTAAAACATCTTAATGGAATAGTAACAGTGATGATGTCACACCAGTCTGTAGTAACTGTACTGTTAGAATATCTTAATGGAATAGTAACAGTGATGATGTCACACCAGTTTGTAGTAACTGTTAAAACATCTTAATGGAATAGTAACAGTGATGATGTCACACCAGTCTGTAGTAAATGTTCTGTTACACTATCTTAATGGAATAGTAACAGTGATGATGTCACACTAAGCAACCATTGCGCTAGGATAATATTGTAATATTTACTAACTATTTGCTGACATTTAAAGGAATATTCATCATATAAAATAGGCATTATGATTTGTACATGTTTTATAATATGAGAAAAACCTGCCACTAAGCCCTGTGAGAGTGATTTTGATAATGAATACAGAAGGAGTGGGAGAGCGTGATAATTATGAACTAGAGTGTAATATCAGTGTGAGAGGTTGTGTATGTTACATCATCAGAGCTATGACAGTAGAACGTTTTGTTAAGTAGTTATGTTGGTCCACTACAGTGTTTAGCTGTGTGTAGTGCTCTATAGCTTACTGTAAGGTTACACTGGAGATACAACATTGTTATGTTTTGTATTAGTGACAGTGCAGAATATTGTTATAGATGTACCAATAAATGATCAGTGGATATTTCACTAGTATCCCATCTCAATAAAACTAAATATAACACAAACAGCTCTTTTGTTATCAATTTTTAGCTCACTTGACCCGAAAGGCCTAGTGAGCTTATGTTGTGATGTGGCGTTCAGCATCCGGCATACATTTTATACTTTAAACAGCTTCTGAATTTGACCAGTAGCATGCTGGGATGCATGGCTACCAAGTTTGTTCAAATAAATGACCTTCACCAATTTTCAAGGTCATAGGGGTCAATTATCTTCAACATTTTTTAGCTCACCTGGCCCGAAGGGCCAAGTGAGCTTATGGCATAGTGCAGCGTCCGGCGTCCGTTCGTCGTCTGTCCGTCTAGCGTCCGTCCGGCGTCTGTCCGGCATCAACGTTTTACTTTAAACAACTTCTCAGTAACCAAAAGGCCTAGGGTGATGATATTTGGCCAGAAGCATGCTTGGATGAAGGGCTACCAAGTTTGTTCAAATGAATAACCTTCATCAATTATCAAGGTCACTGGGGTCTAATATGTTAAAATCTTTAAACAACTGCTTCTCAATAATAACCAAGAGGCCCAGGCTGATGATATTTGGCATGTAGCATGCTGGGATGAAGGGCTACCAAGTTTGATCAAATGAATTACCTTGACCCACTTTCAAGGTCACAGAGGTCAAATGGCTTAAAATCTTCATACAACTTTTTCTGAATAACCAAAAGGCCCAGGGTACTGATATTGGGCCTGTAGCATGCTGGGATGAAGGGCTACCAAGTTTGTTCAAATGAATGACCTTGACGAACTTTCAAGGTCACTGGGGTCAAATGTCTTAAAATCTTCAAACAACTTTTTCTCAATAACCAAAAGGCCAAGGGTACTGATATTGGGCCTGTATCATGCTGGGATGAAGGGCTACCAGTTTGATCAAATGAATTACCTTGACCCACTTTCAAGGTCACAGGGGTCAAATGTCTTAAAATCTTCGAACGACCTCTTCTTAATAACCAAAAGGCCCAGGGTACTGATATTGAGCCTGTAGCATGCTGGGATGAAAGGCTTCCAAGTTTGTTCAAATGAATGACCTTGACCAACTTTCAAGGTCACTGGGGTCATATGTCTTAAAATCTTCAAACAATTTCTTCTCAATAACCAAAAGGCCCAGGGTACTGATATAGGGCCTGTATCATGCTGGGATGAAGGGCTACCATGTTTTCTCAAATGAATGTTGTTTGACCCACTTTCAACCTAATGTCCTTGTTCGACATTCAAGGTCACAGGCGTCATATGTTTAAATCTTTTAATAGGTTCTTATGAATCAAACACTGATATTCTGCCTGTTGCTGTATTTTAGTCCACTTTTAAGATTACAAGTGTGAAATTAATACCAGGTGAGCGATGCAGGCCCATTGGGCCTCTTGTTTTAGAGGGCTTCTGCTGAATAACCAAAAGATTGTGGGTGATGGTATTTGGCCAGAAGCATACTGGGATGAAGGGCTACCAAGTGTGTTCAAAAGAATGACCTTCGCCCATATTCAAGGTCACAGGGGTCAAATATGTTGGAATCTTTAAACGACTTCATCTGAAAAATCAAAAGGTCTAGGGTGATGATATTTGGCTAGAACCATACTGGGATGAAGGAATACCAATTTTGTTCAAATAAATGATCTTGACTTATATTCTAGGTCACAGGGGTCAAATACGATAAAAACTTAAATGACTTCTACGTAAAAAAAATGGCTAGGATGATGATATTTAAAAGTGGCATGCTGGGATGAAAGGTTTGAACAGTTTTTCAAAAGAATGACCTTGAATCATATTTAAGGTCACAGGGGTCAAATATGTTAAAAACTTTGAATGACTTCTTCTGAATAACATGAATGCATTGGGTGGTGATATGTGACCAGTAGCATGCTCAGATGAAGAGCCATCAAGTTTATGTGAATGACTTTGACACACTTTTAAGGCCACAGGGGTCAACTGTGTATAAACTATTTAAAAGTCATCTTCTCAATAAACAAAAGGTATAGGGTGGTGATATTTGGGAAGATGCATTCTTGGATGAAGAGCTATAAAATTTGTTCAACTTAATGTCCTTGTTTGACTTTCGAGGTCACATGGGTAAAATGTGTTTAAATCTTTTAGCAGGTTCTTTTTGATGACTTTGAGTCAAGACACCGACTTTTGCCTGTAGATTTATATTAGTCCACTCTAAGGTTACAAATGTGATCTTAATACCAGGTGAGCAATGTAGGCCTATTGTTCAACATACAAATTCTTAATATTGTATCTGGTCCTTAAATACCGTATATAATAATCGGGTCTTTTACGTTTCATCACCTGGTCATGATAAATGTATGTGATGCAGAGAAACAAATTAAACTCATAAATATCTTGTTATCTGTTGGGTGTGGGAAAAATTACAAATACAGCTGAATCAAATATTTCATCATCAATTTTAATAGACAATTCATGATCTTTACAAATTCCCATTCCAATGAGTATTGCAATGAAAAGATATCACAATTGAGGCTTAATTGCTGTTTTGGAATGTTAAATATCAATGATTTATATTAAAAAATATTTCAGGATTTGCAAAATATACTTTTCATGTATTCATCAAAATATATAACACTGTAACAAAAGTTTTCAAGAAAACTATTTCTTAAATTGCATATGCTTTTCACCAATTGAACAGAATTACGATACAATATGGCAAAATGATTTCAACTAGGAAGGCACAGAATGCATATGGTATAGTTTCACCAATGGCTAGATAGACATAGTTTTGTACAATAGCAAAACAGCCTAGGAAGACGGGAAGTCGTCCAAAGAGTTCAGAGGAATTGTGATAGAAAGTTGTGGTAGATTTATAGAATATATCAACAAGAAGACGCTGTCATCGATATCCCCCGCTCGCAGTGCAAAAGTCATTAAAAACATGAAGTGTAAAATATAGGTCAAAATCAGCATCCACAGTATGCATTCAGAAGGGCAACCCTAGATACACATTTGATGCAAGTATAATCAACATAGCACTTGTAGTAGGCAAAATATAGATGAGAGCGATTCTTCTTAACCAGGTACATGGACGAATGGAAGCACGGATGGACGCACAGACGGACCCATTTCTATATCCCCCGCCAACTCGTTGAGCAGGGGATAACAATCCAACACGAGGAACAAGTACAAACTGATTGCTTGGCAATGGTTTACATAATGGTTAGGATGGCATTAAATTTTGTCTGAAAGCTACACAGGAGCCTGAACTCCACCTGCTATCATAAAAATATCAAATCCTCAGCCGAAGCCTACACTGATATAGTCAATTGCTGACATTTGGTGAACTTGAATGAATTTTTTGTCACCAAACGAAACTAGAACATCCAAACCTACAGCTTGACTTTAGGGATACAGCAAAAATCTTCACTAAGAACTCTCTCAGTGTGATGCGATTTATCTCTCGGTCAACAGCTTCTAGATACACAATGACACAGGTTAGTGGCTGATTTCCTCAACAGACCGCGACTGATCAGTGTATTGTGTTGGGGTGTGACAGTTGAGTCGGACCCCAGTGATGAAGTGTTCTGTGTGACGTCCTGTAGCTTCTGTGTCTGCGTGTGACAGTTGAGTCGGACCCGAGTGTTCTGTGTTGCCTCGTCTAGTTTATCGCTGACTAGAATTCACAATCTGTCGATACAGAAAAAGATAACGATTAACAAAACAAAATTTCATAAATATTTTTATATTGCAAAGAAAATGCTCAAAATGTTTCCAATTACACTTTTGAAGTTTTAAATTGAACGTTTTTAAGGATTCTATGTTCTATCACACTATACTTACATTACATATTTTACTCCAATGTTGAGAAGGATCCAGTCCTAGGATTTTTCCATGTCTTCATTTATGTGAGATTCCTTCATCAAACCAGACACAGCCACTGTCTCCTGGATCTGAAAGGTCAGTCATTGAATTATTGGTATTTACCAGTACGACTCTGTGAACTAGTAGTGATTTCCCTACAACTCTGTGAACCAGTAGTGATTACCCTACGAGTCTGTGAACCAGCAGTGATTTCCCTGCAACTCTGTGAACCAGTAGTGATTACCCTAGGAGTCTGTGAACCAGGAGTGATTTCCCTACAACTCTGTGAACCAGTAGTGATTTCCCTACGAGTCTGTGAACTAGTAGTGATTACCCTACGACTCTGTGAACGAGTCATTGAATTATTGGTATTTACCAGTACGACTCTGTGAACTAGTAGTGATTTCCCAATGACTCTGTGAACCAGTACAGTAGTGATTTCCCTACGACTCTGTGACCCAGCAGTGATTTCCCTACAACTCTGTGAACCAGTAGTGATTACCCTAGGAGTCTGTGAACCAGGAGGGATTTCCCTACGACTCTGTGAACCAGTAGTGATCACCCTACGAGTCTGTGAACCAGGAGTGATTACCCTACGAGTCTGTGAACCAGGAGTGATTTCCCTACGACTCTGTGAACCAGTAGTGATTTCCCTACGAGTCTGTGAACTAGTAGTGATTACCCTACGACTCTGTGAACCAGTAGTGATTTCCCTACAACTCTGTGAACCTGAAGTGATTACCCTACGAGTCTGTGAACCAGTAGTGATTACCCTACGACTCTGTGAACTAGTAGGGATTTCCCTACAACTCTGTGAACCAGTAGTGATTACGCTACGAGTCTGTGAACCAGTAGTGATTTCCCTACGAGTCTGTGAACTAGTAGTGATTACCCTACGACTCTGTGAACCAGTCATTGAATTATTGGTATTTACCAGTACGACTCTGTGAACTAGTAGTGATTTCCCTAGAACTCTGTGAACTAGTAGTGATTACCCTACGACTCTGTGAACTAGTAGTGATTACCCTACGAGTCTGTGACCCAGTAGTGATTACCCTACGAGTCTGTGAACAAGTATTGATTTCCCTACGACTCTGTGAACTAGTAGGGATTTCCCTACAACTCTGTGAACCAGTAGTGATTACCCTAGGAGTCTGTGAACCAGGAGGGATTTCCCTACGACTCTGTGAACCAGTAGTGATTACCCTACGAGTCTGTGAACAAGTATTGATTTCCCTACGACTCTGTGAACTAGTAGGGATTTCCCTACAACTCTGTGAACCAGTAGTGATTACGCTACGAGTCTGTGAACCAGTAGTGATTTCCCTACGAGTCTTTGAACCAGTAGTGATTCCCCTACGAGTCTGTGAACCAGAAGTGATTACCCTACGAGTCTGTGAACTAGTAGTGATTACCCTACGAGTCTGTGAACCAGTAGTGATTACCCTAAGAGTCTGTGAACCAGTAGTGATTACCCTAAGAGTCTGTGAACCAGTAGTGATTACCCTACGAGTCTGTGAACCAGAAGTGATTACCCTACGAGTCTGTGAACTAGTAGTGATTACCCTACGAATCTGTGAACCAGCAGTGATTTCCCTACAACTCTGTGAACCAGTAGTGATTTCCCTACGACTCTGTGAACTAGTAGTGATTTCCCAATGACTCTGTGAACCAGTACAGTAGTGATTTCCCTACGACTCTGTGAGCCAGCAGTGATTTCCCTACAACTCTGTGAACCAGTAGTGATTACCCTAGGAGTCTGTGAACCAGGAGTGATTTCCCTACGACTCTGTGAACCAGTAGTGATTACCCTACGAGTCTGTGAACCAATAGTTATTTCCCTACGACCCTGTGAACCATCAATGATTTCCCTACAACCCTGGGAATCAGCAGTGATTTCCCTTTAGCTCAGTTAGGTATAGCAAATCTACAACAGTCTGATATTAATTGGAAGCATTTTATAACAAGAGCTCATTACAAATCTATGGTAAATGAAATCTTAACAGATGACAGTACAATTAAACTTGATAGAATTCTACGGTGCGCTATTGAAACAGGTGACCCCTCGGTCACACGTTCACATGACCTCTGAGTCATGTGACCAATAGCACGCTGTATTCAAGTTCTGAAGTGTAATCACAACAGAAGTGATTAAGTCCCAGCGTATAGGTATATAGCTAGTTTATATTATATGTATGGAACACAAATTTTAAAACGCGACAAAATAATTTGAGCAATTCATAGTCTTCAATCTCCACACAAACTTTGGTTTCAAACATGAACAAAACGCCTGTGTATATTCTGGTGGTACAAGATCCAATATGATTCTCCAATTCTGCATGAGGTTCTTTCAGTCAGGTAGGCATCAATATATTATGGTATATATAAGCCCCGGACAACGTGAAAGTTGGCAAACAAAGGGCAGTAACTCTGTATATATGAGGTACATGACCCAATATCAGTATGTAACACTCCACCATCCTAACAGGGACTCGCGTACGTGCACATTTGTACATGTATGTGTTAGACAAAGTGACACACTGACTTGTTGACTGACTGACAGACGATCTCTCTAGAAGTGTGTATTGATGGAGGACAAATAAGGGAAGTAACTCTAAATTACTACATAACACTGCCTAAGGTAGCAGTCCTTACCTGTTGTAGGTATTCCTTACACTCTTGTGAGGCCTGATACAACAGCTGTGCCTGGCCCTTTAGTACCCGCACATTCCAAGAGAAGTTGTCGATGGCCTGACAAAGTATAAACACATCTTCAGGTTTAAAACAAACTACAGAGATAAATAATCCTAATAGGACCAAGTAAAGGACAGAAATACAGCGGTCACCTCGGGGCTGACTAGTATCCCACCCAGTGACTTAAGGTGTAGGTTGGCATCTTCTCTACCCTGTACAAATTTTCCACACAAAGGGGCATAACTCTTTGAAAAGTTGTAAAAACTAAAAACTGTTTGACGAGGACCCCCTCCTACATTACACAACTACATTAAGTTATAGTGCTTCACGCAGAATTTAAAAAAAAAAAACTGCTAAAAATTGAGCGATTTCTAAACAAAACTATGTCTAAAGACAGACAGGCCAACCAGCCAAATCTGATGTGCTCCAACCAACCGCTTACTTTTGATTTGTATATCACTAAACTAGATAAAAATACAGAAAATAAACTTCTATGGGTCTTTTGACTCACTACTTGACCTACCTTTTTCACCTTCTTCTCTGGTAAACCAGCTTTTTGACAGACATCTTTCAATTCTTCATGCCATTCAAGTCCAGCTCTACAGCAATGTAACAGCTGTAACAGTAATACAACATTACAGCAATGTACCTTATATGTAATAGTAATACAACATTACAACAATATAACAGTAATACAACCTTACAGCAATGTAACAGTAATACAACATTACAGCAATGTAACAGTAACACAACATTACAGCAATGTAACAGCTGTAACAGTAATATACAACATTATAGCAATGTAACAGATGTAATAGTAATACAACATTACAACAATGTAACAGTAATGCAACATTACAGCAATGTAACAGCTGTAACAGTAATATACAACATTACAGCAATGTAACAGATGTAACAGTAATACAACATTACAGAAATGTAACAGCTGTAACAGTAATACAACATTACAGAAATGTAACAGCTGTAAAAATAATACAACATTACAGCAATGTACCGTATATGTAAGAGTAATACAACATTACAACAATATAACTGTAATACAACCTTACAGCAATGTAACAGCTGTAACAGTAAGATACAACATTACAGCAATGTAACAGCTGAAACAGTAATATACAACATTACAGCAATGTAACAGATGTAATGGTAATACAACATTACAACAATGTAACAGTAATACAACATTACAGCAATGTAACAGCTGTAACAATAATGCAACATTACAGCAATGTAACAGTAATACAACATTACAGCAATGTTACGGCTGTTACAGTTATACATTACAGCAATGTATTAGCTGTAACAGTTATACAACATAACAGCAACATGTGGTGTTGACTTTCATTAGTTAAGAAGTTGTTGAGTTGACTTATAGAGGTTTAGAAGTAGTGGTGTTGACTTTCAGTGGTTTAGAAGTTGTGGTTTTGACTTTCATTGGTTAAGAAGTTGTGGTGTTGACTTTCATTGCTTAAGAAGTTGTTGAGTTGACTTTCAGAGGTTAAGAAGATGTGGTGTTGACTTTCATTGGTTAAGAAGTTGTGGTGTTGATTTTCATTGGTTAAGAAGGTATTGAGATGACTTTCATTGGTTAATCTGTTGTGGTGTTGACTTTCAGAGGTTAAGAAGTTGTTGTGTTGACTTTCAGAGGTTAAGAAGTTGTGGTGTTGACTTTCATTGGTGAAGCTGTTGTGGTGTTGACTTTCATTGGTTAAGAAGTTGTTGAGTTGATTTTGAATGGTTAAGAAGTTGTTGAGTTGACTCTCAGAGGTTAAGAAGATGTGGTGTTGACTTTGATTGGTTAAGAAGTTGTTGAGTTGACTTTCAGAGGTTAAGAAGTTGTGGTGTCGACTTTCAGAGGTTAAGAAGTTGTGGTGTTGACTTAAAGAAGTTAAGAAGTTGTAGTGTTGAAAATAATCAAAAAGATAAAAAAATAAATGGTATCCAGGCTTATACATACCCTTTCATAAACTTTTCCACTATTCTGCACCAAATATTTACAACTTTCTAAAAACTGCAATTAAGATAATTAACATTTTAAAAATTCAATCAACAGTAAATCAATGAGGACACAATACCTTGCACGTACAGTAAATATTTACAGTAAACATTTACGTATACATTCTGTATTTGTTACTGTATAGAAGATATTTAATGGCCTCCCTTTATAAACAATATATTTCATTTGTAGGGCAGAGTACAAACATTTTTTCCTGAGTGTTAAACACAAGAGAAAGTCATTGGTATAATCTGCCATACAAATGAAAGGACTGTGGGATTTTTATTTTTATTTATCACTCAAATGTTTTTTTCGATTTTTACCTTCTCATCAACAGAAAACGGATGACCCCGGGGTAATGAATATTACAATTTACATCAAACACTTAAGGACATTTCCATCTATTCTACAGGTGTTACATCTGAGCTCGAAAAAGATTTTTTTTTTAAATATTTGTCAAATTTTTGGGAATCCCTGCCCCTTGGGTTGGAGCAGGAACCCCGATTTGATATCCTCTTCTACCAAGGATACACTTTACTAAATGTACCTTTGAAAGAAATCCAATCATTGGATTTTAAGGTGTCAATAACGTTATTGATGCATGACATCAGACAAAAGCGATCACAATAAGTCACTTAAGCTTCTGCTCTCATCACCAAAATATACCATTCTTAGCAAAATATACCATTCTTAGCAAAATATACCATTCTTAGCAAAATATATCACTTTAATCAGATTGAATTCTCATGTACTTGGAAAATACCAGTTAGTTTATGTTTGTCTGTGTAAGGTGACATCAAATGTTGGAATGTGCCTTTCATTGATTACACAACATTAACCTCACCTCCATGTTGTAAAAATTCATAGCACTTTTTAAGTTATTCGGAAGATCACCAACAGCTTCCATAAAAGGATAACATTGCTGTAAAAAAAAAAAAAAGTGATAACAACAATAAACAGCTACCAGATTATATATCAATAAAAAGTTCTAATCAATCAACCTGAATCATGTTAATATTTAAAAGAGGGGGTTTATAGCAGTGGATCACCTTACGATAACAGATCAAACAGCTAGTTTATTTCAACACAGACTTAGATAGCCAATCTAATTCTGTGATTTCACCAATTAAGGCTCGTTTTATATGAACACTAGAGTCAGATCCTCTATACACAGCTGGTAGGACAGAACTTAGCATCATTGTCAGGGCTAATGTGGCAGGTCAGGGGAGAGATAAGCACCATTGTCAGGGCTAATGTGGCAGGTCAGGGGAGAAATAAGCACCATTGTAAGGGCTAATGTGGCAGGTCAGGGCGGAGATAAGCACCATTGTCAGGGCTAATGTGACAGGTCAGGGCGGAGATAAGCACCATTGTCAGGGCTAATGTG